TCTAGGATTTCTGTCCAATTGTCTTTTGCAGGAAAAAAAAAAAAAAGTCCAAACTGTTGTGTCAACTGCTCTCCTGGCTAGGTTCTTCCAAAATAAAATACTTATCTTTGATCACAATGAAGTGTGTACATGAAACTTAATGAATCACTGGGTAAACTACTTGTTCTCAGCCAAGCCCTATGATGGATACAAATAAATACTTCAGATGCTAAGAGCAATTTTTACTCAAATAAGGCCACAATAAGGTACTAAGGATAATTGAATATTTATGTAAAAACTGTATAATTGTTCCTATTTCATAAGAATATAGGAATTAAAACATAAAGCATTCAGATCAGTTTCAATAAATGTCGGCTTAAAGAATGCTGGACTGTTCAACTTCCTCTAATGAATTTTGGAATAAAGGATGCCTGTGGAGTAATGCAATGAAAATAAATAAATTCCATGTTAAATAAAATTAAGAAAGCATTTTGTAAACATTTTAATAGAAAAAATAGGACAAAAAGGGAATGCCATCATTGTAGTGAAAATAGCTACAATAGCTACCCAGCTATCAATTTTCCATTGACTTACTTGGATAAGTTGGACTTTCATTACTATAAGCATTTAATTCAGTTTTTGGAGGAAGCAGTGTATTTCGTTCTTTCTCTCCCCCCCCCCAAAAGTAAACATCCTCTTTCGCCATCTGGTGGCCAAAGACAGCATTGTCCATGTAGATGAAAACAGTTGAACTATGATTTAACCATAAGTTATGTTTAATGCTTTCTGATTCATCTTAAAGATATGCATTTTTAACCAATCTAAATATAACAGGCAATTTTGTTCTAACGGTTCACAGCATTTTCTTCAAATAACTCTAGCTGTAATATTTAATGCAAGATAAAAAAATCAAATCCATTCTTTTAAAAAAATAATTTTAAAGTTAATTCATTTGGAAAATTAAAATTAAATATGGTAGTTAACAACTTGACCCGAATGTCTTCTGGTATAAAGAATTAACAAGATCTTTATGAAAGCAAATTCCAAATATATTTTTAAAATGATAAAGCACAGTAGATACTGTTAATTTCAAAGAGCTTTCAGTTTTGACAGTTTTAACGGTAGTTATAACTGTGTGTTGGCAATTCACCAAACCAGAAAGGGTAGATAATTTAACAGCATATGGTTTTTTCTCCCTATAATTTTTTAAGTAAAATTTTCAATGTATTAACACATTTTATGTAGCTACTTCATTTCACAAAAAAATTAAAAATGACAATTATTTAATGTTTAATTTCTTTATTTTCTCCAGAATATTTTAATATTGAAACCCAAATTGTTACTTTGAGAAAGGGAAAAACAGAGAAACATGAAGAGACAAACATTTCATTTCATTTAACTTATGGTATTGTGAGCACTTTTGTAGGCAACACTTTTTTTCTTTGTAGAAAAGAAATAAAAAACAAACAGCACCATTAAAGAATGCATGATCCCTGAATTCTAAACAAAACACTGTCTAAAAATTGTTTAAATGCTCCTTGCACTCAGTCACATTTAGTCAGGTATCAAAGCAAGCATAACAGTATTAAATTGTAGCAGTCTTACTGAATCAACTGCTCCCCCTTCTGAGGATTTTACACACCTTTTCTGAGTTTTTCCTGTGGGAATAATATATTCTTTGGTAGAGGACTGAAGGAGGGTTTTACTTTTCTGTATGCTGATATAAAATGTCTGTATGTTCAGGGCCTGCGCCCCCAATCTGTGTTTGTCATGCATGTTATGTTTGGGTTGATTTCACATTTTGCTGTTACACTGTAGGAGTAATACCGCCTTTTTTTTTTAAAAAAAAAAAGGCATTAAATGGCTAATGTCAAACAGATGTAAACATTCAGAATACTGACCCCCCAAAAAAATACACACACACATTTAAAAAAAAAACTGTACTGAAAATATGAATCAGATTAGGTTTCCAGGAAGCAGGGGGAAAAATACAGCAGTACAAGAAAATTATGGCAACCAAGTAAAGCACTTTCTTTGAAACATTCATGAACAGTACAAATACAACAAAGTTTTTCTACAGTCTAAATTATTCTGCAACTATCAAATATAGTACAAAGCGAAATAGTATGTGCTATAAAAAAGCAGCTCCTTTAAATTATAGTAAAAATGCTTTCTGTTCGCTTTACAGTGACAAAGCATGAGGACTGAAGACAAGATTTTTATATTCAGTGACATTTTGGCTACATAGGCCCCTGACAGTCTGACGAGTTCCTTTTCTAGGACTCTTCACATTGTTCTCTAGAAACACAGAAAGACAGTGACTCTGGGCTCTGCACGCTCAGCGGACTCATTCCCACTAGGCAGCTAGTGCGGTGCTGGCCTCCACACCAGAGAGATGCTGCAACCCTAAGCTTGGCTTCCGCTTCTGTGACCTGGAGGCTCACCAGACCAAGGAGGAACTGGGAACCCAAGGCCACAGTAACTTCTCTTGAAATTGTGCGAGTGTTTAAAATGGGGCTGCAACATCACGTATTCTTACTCTTGGCTGCGTTATGAAGCACCATACACACCAGCCCGTTGGGGTCTGTAGGTTTATTCTGAACGACTAAGAACATCCAAGGTCTAGAAGTCACCTAAACCTGGTAGATCGCTCATCCCAGAAACACATACTACCATAAAGTCTTTATAGCAACCGGGCTTAACCTCGTAGGTTTGTTTTCAAGTTTTTTCTTCAAACTAGACCTTAGCAGAGAAATATTATATAGAACTATGGTGCTCAGTTCACCAACATTTCTGCTCTTCTCACTATGGGGAAGGGAAACTATTTTCATTTTGAAAATGAATTTGCATCAGAACGTTCTTATTAACATGCCCATTAACTACTTAAATGTCTTTACACACTTCAGGCATATGCATATCATAGAGGAGGGGGATGGGGGAATAGCAATTTTCTTCCTTCCCCTGCTCCAAAAGTGCTACTTAGGGAAATACATCCTTTGTGATAAAAAAAAAAAAAATCACATGTTACATGTGCAAGTTCTATTCCTGATAGGGATTATCATAGTGTCCAATAACCAGGATAATGCACACACTAACATTTGCACATTACACCACAATAACCATGTAGTAAATAACATACTACATTTGCACATGGGCAGACACCTGTGGAAATCAGGAAACTAAGAACCTACTTACCTAATCCAAATATACCGGCTTTCATATATATATGTTAAGGAGACATTTGTAAAACATCTGACCCATATTTTACTTCTGAATTTTTCTTTCCATTATTTTTTAGCCCAAAGATATTAAATTTTCACTTATATAAACCATATGCGAAGACCAGGAATTTGAACGGGGGCGAAAAAGGGGGCACAGAAAAATTGTCCTCTTTGGACCTGGGTGACAGAATCCATGCACGATCAACAATCGGTTCTCCAAAATTATGTGAAAAATCACCTAGTTTGTGAAAAATCAAAACATAGGGAAGGACACTTTTTCGTTATTCCCAGTAAGTATTCCACAATGATGGAACTGATAATGAGCTCAGTATCACTTTAGTCTCAATTGTACCTCATATACAGAGTACAAAGCTTGGTAGACCAGCGTTTCTTCAACACCCCGTGCCAGTTACTGATGTAGTAATTTTGAATCTGCTGGTGTGGACAGTACCTGACACTGGTCGAGGGGCAAGTGGATTTGGAGGGAGTTGGCATGTAAGTGTCTACATCGTAGGGGTCCCCTCTGTGAGACTAGAGCATGCTCTTCTGAACCAAGATGGTATTGCAGCCAAGCAGACCACAGAGAGGATGCCGCTCCAACACAACCTGGTGCAGAGTGAGCTGGGACTTCTACTGCATTCCTTGGGAGGGGCTGGTGAAGTGCACTGCTAACTTTCTCAGTCACTAACTTTGTTAATTTCAACGTGAACGCAAACAACAGAAGTGACCTTACCAAAGCACCGAATCTCAGCCACAGAGGCAGACCCTTCTCTGCTTTTCTTTAAGTATCTTTCACTATTAGCAATGTATTAATAAAAGTGACGTTTGTGTCACCTAGTAAAATTTTGCAACATCACAATAATAAATATGGAGGAAAAAAGGAAACATATACCGTGGTTATTATTAAAAGAAAGTCACAAGGTGTTTTTTTTTTTTCCTTTTCTTTCCAGGAATGTAATCTCTGCTCACGCCAGTTAATTTTTAAGACATCTTTTAAGGGAATGTCAAAAGTTTACATTGATGTGAGAATGTCTGTCATTCTTACCCTGGATACAGATGATTTCTGCCCGCCCCCCATGTTTTGCTTCTTTTTTTAATTCTACAGCCACAATCAATCAATGGGTTAATGGCACTCCACATTTTGTGCTCTGTAATCTGAAGTTAAATGGGCATGGTTTCTGTTGTCTTTCATCTTCCCACAGTGTGCATGTGCTTTTTGAACTTGCTTTGGGGAACAGAGCCTCCTGAACTACAGCTGTTCTCTGGCATGAGGGTGGCCAAAGTATGTGGAATGTAGCTCAAATACTCAACACTCAGACTTTACTGGATAAACACTGACGATATTTGTAAGATGCAGTATCCCATTTTCAAAAGCAGTTCCACTCCCCCAAATATGAAGAATGTACTGAATTCTACCCGGGGGGGGGGGGGGGTGGAACCAAAACATGCAATACCTAGAATGATTTTTAAAATAAGGGCTATTTCAGAGTCAAATATAATGAATTATATGGATTGCGAATCATGAGGAAAAAAAACGTTCAGAAATAGATCAACATGTCAGCCTTCTGTAGTTCCTTTTTATCATCAATGACGCTTTAAAAGAGAGGTGGCCAACCTCTGCGGAGTCAGAAAGCCAGAATGTACTGGTGTCATCAAGAAAGGGTACAATTATCCCCCCCCCAATTTTAGTATCTAGTAGTTGTATTAGAGTGAATAGAATGGACCAATATTTCCATTATCAACCCACTTCTATGTGTTTGCATACACAGCATTTTACGTGATTTCTTAAATTTTAGGGCATTTTTTTCATACTTGCTCTTAAAAGTTACACATGATGCTCTGCAATCCTAAGGGCCTCTGGGCCTCTGGGCCTCTGTTGGTCAACTGACCTTACAGTATCAGGTGTCCAAGGGCTGGAACCAGATTCCTGGGCTTGAGGCCCACACGGCAATTTCAGATATCAGACACATTTCACTACAATGTGTGCACAATGTCCAAGGCAGACCCAGACATTCTGCCAGTCTCTGAAAAGAGTAAACAGGGAGGGAAGAGAATAAGGAGAGTGGAGTGCATTACTGGCATACCTCCTTTAATGTATCTTTCATGATATGAGCAAATACAAGGAATCATACATCTAAATCAGATTCCCCTTTCCAAATATGATTTAATCACTGCGGTAAAGGTAGGTCCAGAAGAGTCAACTGTGAAAACCCTTGATGAAATGGTTATCTACAGAAGAATGAAAAACCAACTACCTTAAATCACTTTCACCATTCTCTTTCTACATTTGCATCTCTGGTTAGCATTAAGTAATTAAAAATGTCCTTTTCCTATCTACACCTGGATTTAAAAAAAAACAAACAAAAAACCAAAACGAATGGGTTAGTGACCTGTGTACACTTGGACAGAAATTTTCCAAAGCTGGGGATGGTAACTTAATATGCAAAAGACATGCCGCTGAGCCATTCGGTTGGGATGCAATCTCCCCTTTCTGGGAAATGCAAGTAAAGAATCCCAGAGAGAAAAGATAATCTGTTCCAAAGTAAAATAAATTATCACGATATAAACCACTGAGTTATTCAATGTGTTGCTGCTGACGCCGTTTGGCTTTTCCGTGTTGAAAAGGGATACTGCATCTTGCCTTAGCTCTTTACCGCACAACCAGGCAAGCTACACAGAGTTTGGAGGGACCTATGCAGTCGTCATGGCAGAAGGCCCCACAGCCTTTGCACACAATCATGGCTTTCAGCCGGCAAGAGCATTTCAGTTCCAATTCATCCGCGTTGCTGCTGTCGGCAAAGTTCTGAACGGGCATCTGAGCGTTCTGACCAGGCAGGCCCGTGGCGGGATTGGAGCCGCTTCCCAAAATCCCAATGGACTTTTCAATTGCAGATGCTGCCCTTTTGAAGCTCGTGCTACCAAAGTGTATTGTTGGATAATTTCCACAGAGCTGCTGTTGTTGCTGCACCTGCATTTTCTGAGCAGCTAATTGGGTAAAAGGCTTTTGTGGCTCAGAAAGCAAATAGGAAGAGAAATCTGCATTTTTTAGCGCAAATGCTTTTAACTGTTCTTTCATTTCATTCTGGTCATAGGAAACTTGTTTCATGCCCAGTTCACAGCTGCTGCTTAAACCTTCCTCAAAAGAAAGAGGTTCCGATTTTATATTGCTACATATGCCCGTGGACTGTGGCCAACTAAGTCTCTTAGTGGTTTCCATGGTAACCGGTGGTTGCTTTTGATCGGGTGGGACTTCTGCATTAGGGAGAGGTGGAGGTAGCGGAGGTGGTGGTGGGGGAGGCGGGGGCAAGGCCAAGGGCGGAGGGGGCAGAGGGGGTGGGGGCGGGGGATGCGCGAGTGCTTTGTTTGGCACTGCGTGGGCAGCCCCTCCCACATCATCACCTTCTTTAATGGGCATGTTGGGGGATACCATGTTGGCTAACCTTAGCTGGTGTGGTGTGGAAGAAAGGCCAACCTCTCCCAATGCCTTCTGTTCAAGATGCCTGTTGAAGGCAAACGCATTACAGCCCATGGGGCTCTTGGCAGAGGCCTGTAACAGGGCTGCACTCGGAATGGGGCCCCTGGCAGCCACAGGCATTTGGTAAAACTGCTGTCTGTGTGAGGTACCAGCATCAGGGTGGAAGCTGCCGTTCTTTTCGACATGGAAGAGGTTCTGCTGGAAGCTACAGGAGGGGAGCAGCCGCTTCTGCTGTTTGACCTCGGGGCTGTGAACAATTCTGTTCTGCATGGGGTGCTTGTTCAGCCACTCCTGCTTAAATGGCTGGCTGTGTCCTCCTAGCGGGGTCAGGCCCGAGTTGATGACACAAGGCACCCCTTTCACATCTGGCTCCACCAACAATTTCCCTGGCTCGCATTTAACTTGAGTGTGCTCCCCCACAGTCCTGGCGACTCTCTTTTTGGGGTGGTTGTCTCGCTTTCTCATTTGTAGTGGTGCAAGTGTCCCCGCCAGGTAGCCCTTCCCGTCCGGGTTCGGAGAGCTGGACGGCATTTCGACGATGTTCCTCTCCGGTGCTGTCTTCCCCGCTGAGGTAGTTTGAAGAGGCAGAGGGAGCCTGCTGATCTCGAGCTTGGCTCCCGGTCTGGGCTGAGGCAACACTTTTTCCAAAGGCAGGTTGCCCTGGAGTAACTGTGTCACCAGTGGATTGTTAGCCTCCACAGAGGACAGCCGGCAGCCGGAGCCCCCTGCGCTGGGGACTCTTTTCAGGGGGTCTGTAGCCAAGGAAATCACCTCTTCCATGGGGCCAGAGGCGGGAGCCTTCACACTCTGTGTCTGCGGCATGCTAGGGGCGACCTCCGCAGCCGGAGGAGGCAGCTCAGGGCCGGGGAAGTCTTCAGTGTCCATTCTAAAGCCCTTGTCCACTTCATGAGGTTCAGACTTCACGGGGAGAGTGACATTCGTTATGAGATTCCTGGGGTGAAGTTCTGACATGTGGGAGTAGCTGGTGTGTTCAGTTTTGACGGCCTTTGGACAGCTCTGCTCCAGATACTCCTTCTGTTTACTTGAAGCAGGGTGACCAACCAGAGGCTGTCCTGTGCTCCGCATGCCCTCATCATTCCAGCAAATCCGGCTGCCTGGGTTGTACTGACTGCTACAGCTTATGTCAGCTTCACTTTTGAAAGTGGCGGGGCCACGTGCCTGCTCGGCAAAGCTAGTACCAGGAGCGGGCCCTTCGCTTCGTTTGTCCGGAACCACCAGGGGTCCTTCTCGGAGACTCAAGCAGGCTGCCGGCACCGTCGTGCACTCCTGCTTCGCTGAGGCAGCGCTGAGGAAACTCGAGCCGTGGTCTATGCCTTCGGGGGCAGCCGCCTCCGGCCTGCTGATGACAGATACCTGGGGGCACGCCGTGGGCTGCACGGAGGCTTCTGTCCTTGCGGACCTGCTCTGGAGGTCCAAGCTGGCTTCTGCACTCTCGATGGAGACGGTCAGAGACAGAGTGGAGGTCAGCGTGGTGCTGTGGTCCACGATGACTTTACATGGGATCGATCTGTTTATGGCTGCTGGTGCGAAGCCCCCCGCAGGTGGCTGAGGTTTCCCAGAATTGTCTGCCCTGTTTCGAGGCCCTGAATGTTTGTCTGAGCTCTCTGCACTTAACTTGGGAGGACTCTCGTAGGAGTTTATGGTCAGCATGCTTCCAGTAAACACTGCGACAGGTGGGCGTGCGGCCAGAGCGTCTGTGGCCACGGCCGACTCCCTGCAGCTCAGGGCGGCTCTCACAGTGGTACCCAGGGGCCCAGGCGCCTGTTCTTCACTCCCAGGCATGGCTAGCTTCTCAGAAGGAAATCTGCTGCTAAGTCCCGTTGGGGGAATCAAGATGGAACTCGTGGAGAGATGGTTTGGCAAGTTATTTCCAACGGAGGGAGTTGGCACAGAGGCATACTTGCTGGGGACCAGGTTACTAGCACTGCTGCTGGGCAGTAGCAACTGCTTGTCGTCCATGGGGCTCGAGACACTGCAGCCCTCGGCCGGGACGGGGACAGGAGTGCTTTCAATACATTTTGGTATAATGGCTATGCACGGAGTGTCCGTTCCCTGGATGGTTTTTAACATGCTTATATTACAAGCAGAAATTGTGGTGTTTGCACTGTCAACAGACATTAGAACAGAGGATTTATCAACAGAACTCACAAAGGGATGTTCTTTAATTGCTCCCGACATAGCAGTGCTGCAAACAGACACAGGGACAGAATTTTTATTAAAAAGCATGGGCACACTGCTATTTTCAGAAGAGGTAGATGAAACAATTTTCTCAGATAAATGTGACACGGGTATATTCTCGTCAGAACTATGCACAGATAAGTCCGTGGCAGTTTCTGGAAGTTTAGCTGGGTTAAGAGACTGCTGTAATACAGTGGTGGTCTCTCGGAGGTGCGCAGACTTGTTGCTAGGAGATCTGCAGTTTGGATTGACAATAATCACGCCGGTTGACCCTTCAATTTTTGTTTCAGGGGCAGAAGAGACTTCTAAGCTTGGAGGCCCTTCCTTTGAGCCGAGCGGAGGCAACCGGGACTCTTTAGTGTTCTGGAAGAGGTGGGCTCGGGCTTGATGCTTTGCAAAGAGCTTCGCCTTTGTCTGCTCTTTGATATGTGCCAGGGTTCTCGCCTTTCCACTCTCTCCTGGGCTCCCCATGGCTCCTGAGACGATGCTCGCTGCGGCGGCTACAGCAGCTGCCGCAGCTGCCTCTCGCTGGGCCCTCGCTTGCTGGGCCCGGGCCTTGATGTCTGCAAGGGTCCTGGCTCCTGTGTTCCTCCCACCGCCGACTGATGTGCTAGGGGATGCTCGAGACTCTGGTTTGGAGACCGGCTGGCTCTTGATAATGAAAGGTGGCCCAATTTTGGAAAGCTGGATCTACAGGAAGGGGAGAATGGAAAGAGAAAGTGCTTGGTACATGATCACAGAGGAGGCAGGTGGAAGGTGATAATGCAAGAGACAAGATGGGCTGCATCCTCTCATAATGTGGCATCAACGACACCTAAATCCCCAAATGTGCCTTTAAGGTATAAAGCGACAATAAACGTGGCATGAATGTGAAATTAAACTTTTTAATCTCTGTTTTTCATCTACAGAAACATCAACCGGTGACTTCATTTGGTATGGAAATGAAACATCTTCTTAATGCCTCATATAAATGGAAACAAAATCCCTGCTTCTTAAAATGAGGTTAGCTAAAAAAGACTTAGAGATAGTTAGCTTTTAAATTATCTTCCTTCCTGGCATGGAAAACTGGGCCCTTCATTCTATATGAGTTTATCTCTTCATTTGCCACAAAGAAAAAAAGCCCCAGCCAAGAGGTCAGAAGACTAGAACTCGCATCCTGCCTTCACTCAAAGAAATTCTGTGATCTTGGGCAAATCATCGTGTACTTCGCTTTCTCCAGTGACCTCCGTGAGCCACCGACTCTGTCGTTTTTCTGTACTCCCATACCACCTGGCAGGCTGGCTCATACCTTTATAATCAGCAGACAATAAGAGTTTGTAAACTCACTTGTAAAATGAGACTAGTTATTTCTGGTCTATTTCCTTCACAGGGCTGTTATAAAGATGGAATGAGACTGTATTTGTGAGAGTGCTCTGCTTTCCAAAGGGATTTGGTATCATTATCTTTTCATAAAAGCAAGGGCAACTCTGGTTTTCTGCCTCTAAAAGCAACTACAGGTTGGGCAGTTTCTTCGGATATCAGTAATCTACAATTTGTTGAGTTTCATAAATATCCCAACCCACACTGTCCACCTAACTCATGCTAATTAAGAGGCTCACAGTCATCACCAAATTAACGAAGCACAAGACTCAAAAACCAACATCCCATAGCAATGCCTGTGATGTTCTAGTCACTAAAAACATTCTTAGGGCAATAGATTTGGAGAGCTGGAAGGCAGCTAGTTAAAGCCCCTCATTTTACAGTTGAAAAAACTGAGCCTGTGGAGGGAAAATAGGCTGCCCTGGAGTCATATAACTAGGGAGTGACAGAGAGAGTCTTTGGGTTCCCCATTCAGGGCTCTTGACAGGTACTACTATGCTCCCTTGTTTTCCTTCCTCTAGGAAAAGCTTTTCCTAGAAAACATATCTCCCTTCTTAACATATGTATATTTACACTATAAATGCTTGACACATACTATAGGATCATATCAATCTGAAATCATGCTTTGGAACTTTGATAGATGAAATTATCTTTCTGAGCTATCTCATTTCTCATTTTCCAACCTGCGATGTCTCTCTTCTAATCCAAAAGCTTCAAAGAAAAAATGAATTTAGAGAGGAGATTCCATTTTTCCTTTTAAATATTTTCTTTAGTTAAAAAAAAGAAACAACTAAAAACATTTAAAAAATTAAACCTAGATATACTTAAGCAAGAGCTCAAGGCCAAACACCAAATATACTTATGATAACCATCTACCGTAAAATGTACATTGAAAACAAGCTTTTGACAAGAAAAATCAGACTGCTATGTTCAAAAATATTTCCTATGAAAAGCATGCTTATATTTTTCTTTCCACTGCTTCAGAAATTAAAATGCATAGTGGGGCTTTAATTGGAGCTTAATGTTCATCTTTCACATCTTTAGAATCTTATTTTATAGGGGTTACTTTATTAAGTAGAATAACTACAGCTACACTCTTAAAAGTCAGCTTTATGGATATCATGAGACACATACATAAAATAGATGTCAGAGCAGAGCAAAATAAAGAGAAAGAAATTAAGAGCAACACAGCTTGAATACGGTTATAATTCTAGACCAAACCTATGGTGGAATAATCCACTTAACTGTTGGACAAATGGACTGAAATGAAAGCACCAAATAAATATAGATTATATTGGGTAGGATTTTTTTTTTTATTAAACAGAGTATTTCTTTTGAATTAACCTTAATTTTCAGTTTACTTAGGCAGGGCCAGTTTATATAAAAGATTTGTTTTCTGAGAGTTAAAACCTATCTGGGATCAAAAGAGACTATGTAAGTCGAAATGTTTCACTACAGGTTTTATTATTTGTGAAGTTAAAAAGCTCTTTACTATCTCAAAAATTAAAAAAAAAAATAAGATTTGTATATCTGTATATCTACAGCATTTTTCCCTCAGGGTGTGCAAAGCAATTTCATTGATTTACTCAAGAAATATTTAATGAGGCTCTTCCATAAGTCAGGTCCTTTCTGCTAGGAAATGGTGGTGGTGAATATTTGCTGGAAAATAAATGAGCCGATATTCTCAACCTTCTCCTCCTTCGTGTATGCCTCTGACTTTTGACTACTTTCCCTAGTCCTACTGAACTTTGATATCTTTACTTTCCCCAAGTGCATGTAGGTCTTCATCCTATACCCTGGAGTCCCCAACAGACCCTCTATCTCATGGCCTATCGGCTCCTCCAGGCCCTGTTCTCCCTCCCCATTTCTTTTTCCTTAAATGTTGAGGTCTAAATATATACATATATCTAAAATTATCTTGTGAGCTCAGCAATCCTGAAAAAGGATCATTTAATATTAGAATAGTGCTGAGAGTATTAGATCATGAACTGCTACATAAAACCTGGAGGGAAGAAAACCTTATTTAATTCTGAAAATTAAGCATCAAAATAGGGAAAGCCTAGCTATGGAATTGTCTTTAATGTTATTATTATTATTCCATACCTTGAGAGGCGGAACTCTGGGCTCCTCTCTTGGAGGCTGTTCTTTCTCAGGTGGGCTGCTGGATGGTACGTTCCGGGTTGACTGATCATCTTCTATCCTAGCCCTCTTTTCCTTACAGATTCCAAAGCTGTGTTGCTCTGCAGTTTTCCTCTTTGATATCTCCGAATCTCTACTTTCATTTCTTACCCCATCAGGTGACTTGGAGGGCTCTGACAACTTGGAAGAATGCGAGGTCTCCAACCGATTCTGTGAGCCCCCTTGCTTATGTGTTTTATTTCTAGAGCCTTCTGAATATGAAGTCTTATCCATTGATGAGACATATTGCTTGTCTTGTAATTTAGCTGATGGAAGCTCATTTCCCTTATTCTCTGTCTCTTCAGAAAAGACAGGTAACTCCAATGGTGAAGACGCCCCTTTCTTTTCTGTTCTTTGCAGGACATTATGATTTTTTACTTTTATCATTTCTATAGAAGGAAGTTCTGGAATTGAAGCAGGATAGGGCTTTTCAGTTTCAACATGTGATTTACAAGGCTGCTGATTCAGAGTCTTACTGTGCAAGTCTTCAGATGGAAATGCTTCAGGAACAATGGAGGAACCCATTTTGATAGGTTCAGGAGTATTTGATAGAGTCTTCTGTTGAGAGAGAAGGCTCTCTCCCAGAGGCTTGGCAGGGGCAGAGCCTTCATCTTTCTGTGGGGAGAGTGGTTCTTCACATAGGGAAGGAGACTTTCTTTGCTGATGCACCATTCTTTCATTCATGGAAGAATTAGAAATCGGAGATGTTTCTGAAGGAAGTGGCAAACTGGATATAAAGGTGGTCTCAGATGTGAGAAGCATGGAAGACACTGAAGACGTTTCTGATGTCAAAGGTAAATCAGACATGGGTGATGTTTCTGATGTTAAAGGTAAATTTGATACTGGGGATGCTTCAGATGTCAAAGGTAAACTGGACATCAGAGATGCCTCTGATATTTCAGGTGAAGTGGATACTGGAGATATTTCTGACATCAAAGATGCATGAAGGTTTTCATCAGGGGGATTTCTCTGATTATATTTGTCTGCATTTTCAGTGCTGGACACCTCAGAACAAAACGTTGTCTCAAGGGAGGCTGGAGTACATGATTCCTCTGAGGTGGATTGGGTTTCCCCTCCTGGGGATGTCAGGCTGGTACAGGCTCCCTCTGGGCTCTCGGAAGAGAAGGAAGTTTCAGAGATGCAAGCATTTTCAGAAAGCTGTTCATCAGGATCACTCTGTAGCTCCATATCTACAGCAATTCCTTCATTGGGAAATTGGCCTTCTAAAGAAGATGACCCTGTTTTTATTTTTGGAATATTGGTCTCTATTGCAGCTTCTGGCTCCTTCTGTTCTGTGTCACTGACATGAGTCACAGATGAAGTGGAAGGAACGAGAGAGTCACAGACTTCTAGCTGATCGATAACAACCGACATTTCTTCCTGGGGAGATTCGGATTTCTCTTCCACCTTCACTTCAATATGAGGCAAAGTTTCTAAAACATCATTCATCACAACACAGGATTCCAAGTTATCTTCAGGAGGTGCTACTTGGGGCTCTTCATGAGAGTTGGCTGGACTTTCAGACACCTCAGAAAATTCAGGTATTGTCTTATGATTTTCAACCTGACACTCACAGATACTAGTCTCTACCTCTTCTGCAATCTCCTCCTGAATCACAGATTCTTCAGGGATCAAGATATCTTCTGATTCTGATTCTGCCATCACATCTTTACCTACATCTACCATAGGACAAAGCGTAGCACAGAACTCAGGCTCTGGAGAAGTTGGACTTTTCATGCCTTTTGGCTGTTGTTCTTCCAAGGGAGTCTGTGCGGAAAGACCTGGAAGGCCAGAGGTTCCACACGAACTACTTTCAGCTCCATTACTGTTTGGTCCAGAAGTGAGCTTCATCGATTCCTCTCTTGACATGCCCAACCTGAACAGAAATTAGAAAGATTAAATTATTGTTCAACCACAAAACATGAAAGGTACAACTTACTTATGTGTGTGTGTGCGTGTGTGTGTGTATATATATATTCAACAGAAGTAAATGCATCAAATTAATTTTATAATCACTAAGTAACATGCTTAATTTATGTAAACTAGTTTATGATGACTTAGTTCTTCTACTGCTTTTATAATCATAACTAAAGTAAACTCTACTTCTGGTTAAAAAAGGTATAGATTGATTGATTTGGTATAGATTTTTATTCTGTAAGCAAGGAGATATGAACTTTGCCAAATGTTATGTAAAAGGAATTAAAAAATTACAGACTACAAAAGATTAGAAAATATGGGCAGAAAAGCAAAAGGATGGATAAGATCAAAAATTTTTTAGTCAGAAATTAGCAATCTATCTTTATCATAGAAAACTGCACAGTCTTCAAAGGATGCCATATAAGCAAATAAGATCAATGGAATATAGATATGTTGTAAAATCTTAAAACTGAAATGACTTCCAAAGATTAAGTTCTCTTAAACCAATGTAAGAGGTGTTACTAACCTTATTTTAGTCTCTCAGTGTCTAACCTAAGAAAATATGGAAATTTCACTAAAGAATAACAAACGTATTTGGGGTCAACAAAGTTGATTCTATTAGATTACATTTGTAGGAGGCAAGACCTTAAAATTCTTTCATGTCATCTCTTACTGTAAGGATATTCCATGAAAGACAGCAAAGAGTATCAAGAAATAATCTAACCTAATATTCATGTCATAAGGGAAAGTTCATCAGAATTACAAAAATATTGTAAACCACTATTTCCTGTCATACTAACTTACAATGTCAGCATCACATGGTAGAGAAATAAGCTGTTCTAAAAGAAGAGTACAGACAATTATTACAAAGAGACATATTCTCGAACATATTTGAAGAAATACAGCTAAAAGTATCGATGTGGGAAAATACCTCAGTGAAATCTCCTTCAACCTTTTACTTAAATTCTCAAAATGAAAGGAAATAATATTGAATAGATTTTTTGGGGTGTATTCATTGTCTTCTTTACTAACATTCAGAAGGCTCAAAAAGAAAGATAGGAAGTACTGCCCTCATAATTAGCCTCTTTCAACTTTTCCTAAGATAGGTTCAAACTAAGCTCCAATTTATAATTATCCTACACTGAGAGGAACAGAATAACTACACTACAGATAAACTTAAAGAAGAATAATCAACTAGAAATACGGTCCCTTGGGGCTAGGTCAAGCAGAGATACTACTGATATTAGATTAGGTGTAGAATATACAGTAACTATCTACTGGCAGCCAAATTTCTGCTAGTTGGTTAATAAGGGTATAATAAATTTATTAATTCATATGAAATATACTTAATATTAAATATCACAAATGTATGGAATATATAAATGTATATATTATGAATGTGTGTATATGTATAATATATATATATGTGGACAACAGCACTGTATAAAATATACCTATGTCAGCATTTTATTATTTTCATGAAAAAAATGGATTTAAGATGGCATAAGGCATAGAAGGTTGGTTTTCACAGCACACCACATAACACAAAGGAAAACAGTTAAGTCCAGAAATCTAGACTGCAAACGAACAAACCAACTCCTATAATTCTGAGTTAGCATACATATGGGTGAGCTCTAAGTAACTAAAGCAAATATAGAACAGTACTATGTTATAAGCAGAGTAACCATAATAAAGAGCTCAAACAAACAGCTGAAAACTAGAGCAGACAAATCTTAACAATAGGGGAGTTTGGATGGCAACATTCTTGGGAAAACTTAGAGCAGTGAAAAGGCACATGTCAACTGAAAATTATCTGATGCTAGGAAAAACAATCCTTCACACACTGGGGTAGCTTAAGTAATCTAGAAGTAACAAAATTTGAAGGGTATTCAATGAAATGTCCAAAATATAGCTGTCATCCAATATGTAATCGAAGATGGAAAAAGTCAAGCAAGAATTCCAGTGACATGAGGGGACAGAAACTCTATGGATAAACTACAGCAAGAAAAGGGTCAAATAAAAGAAGTGTTTGTATTCAGAGCTCAGGGATGGTAAGACGGAATCATGCTTACTCACAGTATTGTAGCTGTTACCCTCCAGGGCAGCGGCCTTTAACCTGATATGCATGGGAGTCTGGAAGCCCTCAAATTTTATGTAAAAATATTATATATGTGTGAATTTTTCTGAGAAGGAATTGAGGCACTAGGACACTGAGCGAATTACTTAACCACACTGGGTAAACCTGGAAAAATTACTTAGTTTCATGGTCTCTCAGTTTCCTAAACCCTTTTTTAATGTAAAAGTAATAATGACATCCACTTTATACGACTGTTGGGTGGGTTAGTGAAATAATACTTGCAAAGCTCTTAGACACATATCAGAGCCGACTATGTTCAATCACAGCTTGCTGAACAAGGGAAAGCCTTTTGTAATGCATGTGCTCTAGGGTACACGCTCTCTGAGGGCAGAGCCTAGGAAGCCCTATGAATGTCTATACCTATGGCATCTAGACGAGATGTTGGATCAATTTTGCTGAATTTAAAAAAAAGGGGGGGCCCAAAACTCAAGACCAGTACATTGGAGCTAACTAGCTTAGTTGTGCTTTTGCCAGCACCGAAAAGGGTGTTCCCAACATTCCCTCTGTCAGACACAAGGTGGGGGAGCCCTCCTGAGTGGTCTGCAATGTCATTCTCCAGGGTTCTTAATCCTGCTGGGCATCAGCATGACCTGAAGAGCATCTAAAAATACATATTTCTCACCTGCTGGACATTCCCAATCAGTCTGTCTGCCATGGGTCCTGGAAATCTGTTATCTATTTTTAAAAGCTCCAGTGAGGATTCTGATGCAGCCAGGCTTGAGTAATACTGCCGGTGACAATATCTGAAGGCATATAAGGAGCCTGCTGCATTTTTAATTTTTGAGAAAACACATTAATTATCTCCTGTTAGTTCTGCTTAAAGATGTATATGCATCCATGGTCCTAGGATAGCAACAAAAACAAGCCTTCCTACTTGAGAGTAACTGCTACTTAGGACACTCCACAAAATGCGAGCCTACTCTGGGTAAGCAGGCTATTAATCACATGATCCTTTTTTAAGAAAAGCACTCATATGAGACCCCTGACATTGTTTTCCCTATTTATGGGGGGAAATTTTATGAAATTAAATCAAATGGTACAGATTTTGTAACTTGCATCCACCTCAGTGTCATTTACACAAAACAACTTCCAGAACCATTAAGTATGTACATGGGAGTTCCAGGAAAAATTCCTTTCTGAGGAGGATCTAAAGTCACTGTCAATTGTCGGCTCTGAAATCCTTCCTTCTTCCTTAGGGATCTGATGGTCTCTGAGACTTAAATTATGCTCAAGTACAATACGTCCCTTCTAAATGTAAGGCAAAGGAGAAACTACTTTCAATTTAATTCAGTCACTATCACACTTACATGTGGCTGGCGTTATTTTAAAAAGAAACACACACGAAGAAAAATAATAAATTAAAAACTGGTTACATTCAAAGAGCAAGATGGATGGAGTGAAGAGTAATACCTCAGGCTCTCCCCCAAACAAGGACTAAACAATTGTATATGCATAGCCAACATTTTCAGAAAAATATGAGAATTAAGGGTGTCTAAAACTACTTAGCTCTAAAGTATTCCTTAATGAATATACTTGGATTAAAAACAGGAGATTTTTACTAAAATCTAGTTAAGAAAGCCATAATTGACTTCTATAGGATTTCATGTGCTACTTTCAGTCCAAAATGAATTTTCATGGACAAGTTATAAACCCTTGAAAATGCATTTTTTAAAAATTTAAGTGCTGATATGCCACTATAATTTTACCTGCAATTTCTTACACTGAGGGACTATTGCCTTTTAACACAGGTTTATTAAGTTTTACAGCATATGAGTGTGCTATGTGAAGCAAAGAATTACATTTTCATTTCCTTCTGAGAGAAATGAGAAAAAAAAATGCTCTAGTACTTACTTTTCTCCATAAAACCTTTCAAAGAATTTTTCTTTCCAAGGTTCTGTTTTCTTTTCCTTCTCAATTTCTTGCCTTATCCGCAACTGCATTTCTGGAGTAAACTCTCCTAGGAAGCAAATGCTTATATATTGAGTAAAAGTTGTCATATCTTTTGCCAGTTAATAAAGAAAACGTAATTAATTTGAATAAACTTTTATGGATGTTGAAAAGTAAAAGGTTGAGTACTGACAATATTTCTACAGCTTCTCTCTTTATGAACATCACTCAAATAGTCATTTAGTTGTAGGTGAACTTTAAAACCCTCAGCAAATATACTGTATGCTAGGGGCTGTGAATGAAATGGCATATATTCAGAGTCCTTAATGAAATCAGTCTGGTGGGAGAAAAGGCACACAATTGACTACAATATAATGTTGAAAGCCCTGTATGGGCTATAAGAATAAAGGTAGTGAAAGCAGAGAAGAAAAGGCACTTAATTCTGCCTGAATTGATTAGGGAAGACCACATACAGGAAATGGTACTTGAGTTAGCTTTTGACAGATGACCAAGTTTTATAAAGTAATTAACTCACAAGGCACAGAGATATGAATATGTATATTTATGTTCTTTTGAGTGGCCAATTGTAAGAACGTAGGAATAGAATGAAATGAAATGGGAAAGGTAGGCTGAGGCCAATTAGCAAATACATGGTTTAAAGAGAGTTCTAAATTTTTCCTACAAGAGACAGAGGGAGGTCCTGATGGCATTCACTCAGGGAGGAAGATGGCCAAACAAGTGGCTTAGAAACCCAGTGTAGACATGGGAGGACTCCAGCCAGGAGGCTGGTGAATGGCACAGATGAGAAACAGAGAGTACAGTCAGGCCAGCAGCCGTGGGAACGTTCAAGGGCATTCAGAGTCACAGCACAACTGACAGTTCACGCCCAGATCAGGAGAAGGAAGAGGGCAAGAAGAGATCATCAAATTTCAAAGTAGGGAGCTCTGTGCACAGTGGTGACATCAGTAGAGAGGGGGCAGAAAGGAGAGCAGAGAGTAAGGTTAAGGGAAGGGAAGATAATGAGGTTAACAGTGACATTATGGTTTTCAGGTGCTTGAAATCAGCTCGGGAGATCCAGCAGGCATTTGGAACAGAACATAGGATTAGGAAAGAAGAGTGAGAGCCAGATGTGGAAGATTTGGCATAGGGGCCATACCAAGGTGGTGAAAGAGGCTGCTTAGTGAATGTGCACAGCTACAAAAGAAAGTACCAGAGAGAATGGTGGAGACATCACCATGTATCATCAGATGGAAGAACAGAAGCTCTGGACGGAAGCTGAGGAATGGTCATTGGCAATGCGGCCGCGGGAAACAATTTAAAATATATTGTAAATGTCTAAGGTATCTGGTTTCAAATTGGATGGGGTAAAAAAAAAAATGCGATATTGCAGAAGGAACATAAAATGTAAGGACTAAGAAGAGGAAACTGGGCTTTGCCATTAGAAAGCAAATTAATATTCTCCAGGAGGCGTTACTTCAGTTGTGGATAGAGGAGTCACACCTACCATAACACTTTGAGAGGGTAAGGGAGTAAAAATGTAGTACCATTCGTTATTTTTGGTCTTTCAAGAAGCTTGGTGACTAAAGGAAGAATAAGGTGAAATGGTGGCTTTAGGGGAAGAAAGTATTAAAAGAAGATTCTTTAGGCTCTAGGACATTAAGAGAATACATAATGCTTCAAGCAAGTGATTAAAATTACCATTCCAAAGAAAATCTAGCTATATCAAAAATTTTTATGTTCCAGATATCATGCTTCCTTCAAAAATATTGGACCTCAAAACTGCCAAGGATAACAAAGAATTAGTGAAGTCATTTGGAACAGAATGGAAGTTTTTACTAATTTATACTTCAGGGGGAGAAAAAGACTCAGAAATCAGAGAAAGGTGCAAAGCTCAGTACAGTATGTGTACTCAGATATGCCAAAGAATAATGAAAAAGAGAAATTTACCTTCCGCCAGTCGCTGTTTCCATCCTTGAGCTGCATATGCAAAGAATTCATTATTTAGTGCTGAAGAACTGAGGCGTAAAATTCCATCGCTTCCCATCTAGGAAATAAGCCGACAAAAACAAGATCCATCAAGGATAATTCAAAGCAAAAGTACTCAGGAAAGAAACGAAAACAGGGTGTGTGCGTGAGAGAGAAAGTGTGGGGTAGGAGAAAGGAAGAAAAGGAACCTAGCAGAAGGGGAATCTCCCAGCAGAAAAAGTGCACTTTACAGTGATGACTATAATGACAAAAATTTAAAGGAAATCTTTATTAGGCATTTCCATTATTGGTGGTGAGGAAAACAAATGCGTGGGATTTCATCACAACAGTTTGATATCTTTATTGTTTTACTACACCTTAAATGGTACCACATTAAAAATCACCATGTTGACACCTTCCGATTAACTTTCATATATTAAATTTTCTAAAATTTGTGAAAGCTAAAGAAATCCAGTTGGATCACTTGGGTTCATTCTCTGACTCAGGTTTAGACAAGAAAAAGTTCTAAAACATTAAAACAAATACCCCCACACTGTCATACATACCCCCTCATCTTCTAATTTGGATGCACACAAAAAACAGTAAGTTTTTGGTAAAAAAAAACCAACAACCTTGGTATTTACTAAGGTAAATAGTAAGGCGTACAATATGTGCAACTCTAAGCTACCGACCTTTTGCCTCAAACATACTAATTTTTAAAAACTCACATGTAGAAGGGATTCGGATAAGCATCATCAAACTGGATGCTTTTAACTTTCCAATTATTTACTGCACCTATGTGCATGTAGTCTGCTTGCTGACATAGAAGATTAAAGAAGTGGCCCTGTCCTTTACTGGCCGCTTACGTGACCAAGAATGAAAATAAAACAGTGTCAAGCACTGGGTGAATGGGAATTAAGGAGTGCAAAAAATAAAAGCTGGGGGATGCTATCTAGGTGGACATGAGCGGTTAGGAAGAACTTGATGCCAGAGGCACAGCCGGGTCCTGCAAGATAGGATCTGGACAGCATGGTTTCAGAGATAAAGCACGTAGTGCACTGTAGAGCTCGGGGGCTTTACTGCGAAGACAGGACATCACAGGCCGTCAGTAACTGCACCGCGTACGAAGGTGTGAGGTGCTTTAACCTGCTGGGCAAAGGCCTGGCAAACTGTAGCTCCAATTACATTTTCAAAGATTTCCTCTTACTCCCATATACACGATTCATGTGTCCTAATCTCTAATTGTCACTGCTACCTGAAAACACGCCCAGAGATTTCTCATCCCCAGGTTTCTGTTTGTTTGTGGCCTTTTCCACACTGCATCTTCACCACCGAAATACTCCTCTGCTTTTAAAATTTTACTCAACGCCTTCATGAACGTGTCAGCTGAACCACCATTCAGGAGCAAAGGAGAACATTGAATCTAAAAGTCAGTATTATACCAACTACTCTGGATAATGCTAGATCCAATTCAGAAGAGAGACGCTGTGAATAAACATGAGGTGTGTTGAATGCTGCCATCATGACATCCAGAGGGAAGCCACAGACTTGACATTCTAAGTTTCTTCATCTAAGAAGATATGGATAACGACGCTAAAATATTCAATACACTTGGAAAATTTCAGGCAAGACTTTGTTCATTCATTGAATCATTATTTACTCACCCAGAGCTATTTCATCTTTATTCGAGACACTTATTAAGCCACTCATATGAACCCATGTACCTGGCACACGTATACAGTGGCACTAAAGAAAAAGCCCCTGCCCTTATACTGAATACATTCTACACATAGCAGATGCTTCTGATCCCTGTAGATCTCTTCCACCCGCGCAACTGTAACTGTAACACTGTAACACAGTTATGTCACCACGCCACCTCAGCGTCCTACCATCCTACCACAGCCCCAGGACCTGAGTGGGTAAGTGCCCCAGGCTTCCTATCTTCTGACTGGACAATTCTAGGACTCCTTCCTCTGGAATGCAGTCCATACATCGAACCAATGGATGTCATTTGGTCCTGTGTCCCCAGTAGAATACATGGGCCTGGGAGCCAAGGGGTGGAGTGAGTGAATCTTTGTACTATCTCTCTCTGGAAACCACTGGCAGACTGTATACTTTCTGTCCCCACAGCTCTAGACCATGTGAGATTAAAAGTCCATGTCCCCGGGGGGAGAATCATTTCTCCTAGGGCAGGGTTTCTCAGCCTTGGCACTATTGTCATTTAGGTTCGAGATACTTCTTTATTGTGGTAGCTGTCCTGTACGTTGTAGGTTGTCGAACAGCATCCCTGGCTTCTACCTACTAGATACCTGTGGCAACCCCTCTGCCAAATGTGACAACTGTAAATGTCTTCAAATATCACCAAATGTCCCTTTGGGGCAAAATCATCCCCAGGTGACAATCATCGCAGTATTGGACATGGTGAGGGCTCCACTATAGCTAAGCTCAGCCTGGTTACTGTTTGTCTCTCATGCTGGTGGGTCTGTAGGCAAAGAAAGGGGCTACTGGACAGGCGGGATAATCAGCCCCAACAGTCATGAGGAAAGAGGACTGCTGCCGTAGGGCAGCAGCAGAGAGAGGGATGTAGGTAGCCCTGGAGATTCACTGCGACTTCCCTGGGTGCTTCTGTGTCTGGTGGTAACCGTGAACATGGATTACAGCAATGACAGCCAAAAAGGGCAAGGGAGACAAAGGCTCAGACTCCTCAGGGATGAGAGTCTGGGCCACCTCCACCAGGCAAACTAGCAGAATTCCTGCTGAGTATGAGGGTGTTCAGAAATGGGTGACAGAGAAGGGAAATGATGAACTTCAATCACAGCCTTAAGACCAGCTTGATTGAAACTAGCGGAGTCTACAGCTGGTTCACTAACCCCCTGGCCGTAGGTTTTGTTCTTTTGTCTTTTGTTTTGGTTTTTTTTTCCCTCTCCAAAATATCATGCCTGGCCACTCCTTAAAGAGTTAGTGAGAGCACACTTAACATGAAGCACAACAAGGTCTGAGCAGTGCGGAGTAGAGCAGACTGGACACTGGTGATTCTGTATCTAGCCTGCACGAGTACAGAGCAGCTGGGGCAACAGTTAAGTGCACTTGTCCTGCCCACACCTACAAATCTCTAGGACTTTCTCTGCTGCAGATGCAGCCCGGAAGTGCAGAGTCTGGCTCTGGGGGCAACTCTCCATCCATAAGAGACAAGGGTCTGTGGTGAAAGGTCTTGCTTCCCTGTTCTCCTGGCAGACAACTGTGGGACTCATTTTACACATTTTTGAAGGTCCTCAGTAGAACTGAGACCCAGTCATTTGGAGGGTTTTTCCTCTTCCTGTCTTCATATCATCTAATCCCTGGCTTCTGCTTCCAAACCAACTGTGCTCAAGTTCTTGTTCCAGGCTCCACTTTTGGAGGGAAGGGGCACAGGAGGATACTAACTAAGACTCTGAATCAAAGGAGTTTGGGCTTTATCCTCTCTGTGGAGATGGCCCAGTGAATGTCCATAAGGTAATCCTGAGGCTTGAGGCAGGGCTGGAATCAGCATGGCGCCTCCGGCTAGTCACCTCCAGGCCCACTGATTTGCCCCTGCATATTAACTGCTTTTTCAATCACAACAGGGAAAAGGTCAGAAGCACTCTTCTAGGTAATGGGAAACTACCGTTAAAAAGGTTGAAGCCTGGGAAAAGTCCAAAAAGATGTGTGTTTAAAAAGATAACTTTATTACCTTTGAAAAGGATGGAATGGCGAGAAATGCACAGAGAGAAAGACATCGCAAGCAGGTAATGGAATACTTCCATAAAGGATAAGAAAGGCAAATTTGAGATATTCAGGACTAGGTGGAGGGCTTTAGGACTCCTTTAGAGTAAAGGACTTACGTAAAAGCATTGGGAGAGTATTTTAGCAGACAACTGAACTTGCCCACGATGATCCTGGGAAATGGGGTGGATGAAATAGGCAGCTGGGCTTGAGTGGAAGTCTTCAAGCAGGGTTATGAAAGAGGCCTAGCAAAGATAATGGGATGAAGACAGTCCATCTAAAAGATATGCCTCTAAGAAGTCTGAAATTTTCTGCGAATGTTGACTCTGCCCATGGTTTGGGAACCTTGGGAAAAAGCAACTTCACTTAGGCAGACTAACAGGGAAGAGGTATTCTTATTGTGTAGATTTTAAATAGGACTAGTGGGTGGAAGACAAGTTCCCTGAAGAGGTAAAGAAATTTGTTTGCTATGAAGTGCACTTATAGAAGGCACAATGAATAGGTTAGAATTTTTCTGTATTTGAGGACATTCATGGTGCTTTGTTAACTTCCACAGTCCATGCAACATCTAGCATACTGCGGGTACTCAATAAATGTTTACTGCTGCCCTTGCTTTCTATAATGAAAGATTTAAAATTTAACTTCGGTAGCTGATACACAGGATTTTCATTTCGTGTATTCTCCCAGGCCAAGAGTATGATTAGTTATTAACTGAAATTTCAGCATAATTTTAAGACACAAAGAAATACCAGATTCAGATTAGCTCTGACGGAGTCTCAAGATTTCAGCACATGAAAATGCATGGCAGTGTGAAATAAACACATTCAAAAATATGGAAGCTAGCCCTGAAGGAAAATGTCTTTCTTTTAAAACAGAAAAATAATATTAACTGCCAGACTTCCAGCCTATATGAGACAGCACAATTAAACACTAGGGCTAAATTGGACTTAGGAAATACGTGCCAATAAAACTTTTAAAATACACTATTAATTTTATGGCCTTTAAGAAATACTGTCCAGAAGACATAACATTTTAATGAGCCGGAACAATAAACATTTCTGAAAGGTTTATTTATTTTTTTATTGTTGAGCTATAAATTCTTGTTTTTCAGATTACCCATGCTAGAAATGTTCATTCTAAAAATTCCCTTAACTCTCTTTTAATTAAGTGTCTAACTAAGCTATTGATAAATTATGCTTCCTTTTTTAGGAGGAAAAAATCCTGAACATTTTAGTTGTTACAGAGGAAAATAAATATGCGTAAAGGGAAATTCCTTCGTGTCGAGATCCTTTTACAAAGGTTTAAACTCCTTATTGGTGAGTCTATCATTTGTCTTTG